GTTTACTAAATATAATTTTAGTTCAGTGAGTCCATGTAAGAAAATAAGATAAAAGGGCTACAGATAACTTGTAATTGTGATGTACTATTTTTTATTTGTGAGAGTAGCGCAGTATCAAAATATCCGTCATTGTTACGTAAGAAGTGTCAGGCTGAGGGATTCCCTGATACAGAGGGTTATCTGGGAACATTATGTTTTAGGAAGAGTGGAGAGGGGCTGGTATTTCAACCCTGTCCAATGTTAGGACTGTCAGAATTCACTAGAATCCACCAATGTGTTTTAAACAGGACCACCCAGACCACCAGGAGCCATATTTCTAAGAATATGTCTAAAATGCAAAAACATGAGCAGGTCTGGAGTGTGTGTTTAAAAGAAACTGTCATCAGTTAAAACGACTTTTCCATATTTCAGACATGTTTAAATTTTAAAATAGTTCTAGTAATAGTAATAAATAAGTATATAAGTATAAAACAATTCAAGAAAGTAAACTATATTTTTGGTCAAAGTAAAATTTTCTTTAAGGTGCACTATGTAACTTGTTTCAACTTGTCAGTGTTATTGCGTTGCCATGCCGGCCTTATATCTCTAAAGAAAAGCTAAAAGTATTAAAATAAAAATATCTTTCTCCTTGAAATGTCTAAATTTGATTTACTCTGAATTAGAGGTAAGATCTTAAGACCGAGCCCAAGCCCGACCCGACCCGACCCGAATTTCGGGTCGGGTCGGGTCTAAAATGTCAATCATTACTTCGGGTCGGGTCGGGCTCGGGCTTCAAATAAATATATGTTTATAAAATGTATGCTAAAACGATGTGTGGATACTAAACTAAGGAATAGTTGTTATAAAATAAATAATATGGATAAAACAGAGAAGTAGTGTAATGTAATTGCTATTTAACTACTAAACAGGATCCGCAGAGCCAGAGCTCTGCGCACGTGAACGCCCCCTCTTAATTTAATAATCTTCCCCTCCGCAAGTCTGCATCTATTTTGACCTGGTATCCCCAATATGGAGGAGCAAGAAGTTAAACTAAAGGCAGGAGAACTGAAAAGACAAACACGCACCGGTAAGAGTGAGGTGTGGAAAAGCTTCAAATTGATTGCTGAAAATGCTACAGAAACTTGCGTTGGCTTCGCTGAATGTCGTCAATGTGGCGCTTTGCTTTCATACGAGAGCAAAAAGACTGGCACCTCGACGCTGAGCACTGCTCCTCCTCCCGAGTCCTCACAAATAAAATATGACATTTCGGGTTTGCTTCGGGCTCGGGCCTGCAAATCAAGTTAATTGGTCGGGCTCGGGCCGGGTCGGGTTTTAATACCCGCGGGCCGGGTCGGGTCGGGCTGGATTTTTTAGGCCCGATCTCACCTCTACTCTGAATCATCTGTATCCCATATTGCAGCAGAACAAACAATCCATTAATATACAATTAACATAAAACTATATCGTTAAATAGATGTGAAAGAAAGTTTAGGCTGGCCATACATATAAACTGTATTATAATGTTTTCTATGGTTTTGTGGAAAGTGTTTTAGACGTTAAAACCACTGGGTGATTCAAAAGATTATTCTGTACACCCACCTAGTGGTCAGAAGTAGTACTGCTGCATTAAGTTATATGCTTTGAAGGAGAATGGAGCAAGAAGGAAGAAGAAACAACTTTATTAAGGATATGAGACCATTTAAAATGAACTGTTAGGTCTATGTATTTTTTATGAAAGATGTGTGTACACTAAAAAGACCATGATTTGGAATGCAGAGGTAAATGAGAGATAACATTCAGGAAAGCCATTGAAAGAAAAACATTGATCTATTCAGAGCTATATTTACAACAACAATGACAACAATCTCTGACTTTTGTCTTTTCTGTTGTAATACTGATTCCCAGATTACTTCACAGTCATGATATTTTATTGTTGTGTTTGCTTCAACCCTTAAACCTGCATTTCAGTGAATACTGAATATATTATCATAATGGGTCTCTTGGCAAAGCTCAAATGCTTGGAGAGGGTAGAGGTGCTGAATAAATCATAATATGTTTCCATTTCAGAGCCCAGTTTCCATTTAAAACTTTTCACATCATCAAAACAACCCACTGCTCAATAGTGTATATTATCAGATTATTACCGAAAATATGTTTGTCATGTATCTATGAACAAGTACTGTAATGTGTTTGTGTAAATTATAATTAAGAGAGGCTATTAGACACTGAATAGAATTTTCTCATAATTTCACTTTAACCTTTGTGTTTAGAGCCTTTCTTCCTGTTTCCAAACCACAGTGTGTAACTAGATGTTCAGATGGAACTTGCAATTCTGCGCATTCAGCTATTTCTGAAGATTTCCTCCCACATTTTTACAGGCCACAGTAATAAAGGTGGTACAAGGTGGCAAAAGTAATAGTGTATATTATAGTACTATTTATTGTGGTGTTCACTCTATAACCCACATAAAACACACACAGCAAAGTAATTGTAAAGTAATTAGGGCTGCATCTGATGTTTTGTACATATATTTTTGAAATATTTGAATATATTATATAAATATACTAAAATGAAACAAGAATATTACCATATTTAAATTACTAAACAAATTAATAAATGACTACCCTATTACAACTTAAATGAGCCAAATAGTCTAAAATTAAATTAAAATTACAACAAAGGAAAACAAATAAATCTCATATCTCATTAAATAAATAAAATAAATGGTTTGTATTTCACTTTTAACTGAACTGTTGTATAATTACACACATAACTTTTATATAACTTATCTTTTGTGCAAAAGTGACACTTTTACCATCTGTCCAGGAACTACAGATTCAAAATTGCCTCTAATTCTGGTACATTTACAGATTTTTTTTTTTTTTTTTTTTTAAATAAACCTATTCGTTTTAAAAAAAATAAAAATAAAAAAACAAATCAATCCTACATTAAGACTGAAAATTTTATCTCTCAAATGTTGAGGCAACTAGACATGCCTGAAATATCTGTGTGTGAACTAAATCGTGATTAAGAAAACTGAAATTGCTATAATAATCTTGATATTTTTATCAAGATTATTATAGCAAAAAAAAAAAATAAAAATATATAAATATATATATAATATATATAATATATATATATATATATATATATATAATATATATATATATATATATATATATATATATATATATATATATATATATATATATATATAATATATATATATATATATATATATATATATATATAGTGTAAGATGCTGGCAGGGAAAGCATACATGGAGCGACATAACCAAGTGGCGGGCATAGTGTACAGAAACATCTGTGCAGAGTACGGGCTGGAAACCCCAGGATCAAGGTGGGAAACACCTCCAAAGGTTGTGGAGAATGACCAAGCCAAGATCCTGTGGGACTTCCAGATACAGACTGACAGAATGGTGATGTCGAACCAACCAGACATAGTGGTGGTGGATAAGAAACAGAGCAGAGCCGTGGTGGTGGACATCGCAATACCAAGCGATGGTAATATCAGGAAAAAGGAACACGAGAAGCTAGAGAAATACCAGGGGCTCAAGGAAGAGCTGGAGAGAGCCTGGAAAGTAAAGGCATCAGTGGTGCCTGTGGTGATCGGAGCACTCGGGGCTGTAACCCCCAAACTGGAAGAGTGGCTTCAACAGATACCGGGAAAAACAATGGACATCTCAGTCCAGAAAAGTGCAGTACTGGGAACAGCAAAGATACTGCGCAGAACTCTCAAGCTCCCAGGCCTCTGGTAGAGGACCCGAGCTGAATGAGGGTGAGAGAGACCTACCACCGTGGAAGGTGAGAAACACTTTTTTTTTTTTTATATATATATAGGCAAGGCAAGGCAAGGCAAGTTTATTTGTATAGCACAATTCGTACACAAAGTAATTCAAAGTGCTTTAAAGAATAAGAAATACATTAAAATCATAATAAAAACAAATCAAAACATAAATAATCATGAAGATTAAAATTAAAAAAGAGAGACATAAATTGGAGAGAAGAGTGCGGAATGAAAACCTTTCAGTTATATGCACAGTTAAACAGAAATGTTTTGAGCCTGGATTTAAACAGCGTCACAGAAGAGTCTGTCTCACATGTTCAGGAAGACTGTTCCAGGTTTTAGCTGCATGAACCTGAAACGCTGACTCCCCTTGTTTAGTCCTGACTCTGGGCACCAGCAGGAGGCCGGTCCCTGAGGTCCTCAGAGTGCGAGATGGTTCATATGACACTAACATGTCACAGATGTACTTTGGTGCTCGGCCATGGAGAGACTTGTACACAAGCAGAGCTGCTTTAAAGTCTATTCTCTGAGGCACAGGAAGCCAGTGCAGAGACCTGAGCACAGGACTTATGTGCTCGTATTTCCTAGTTCGAGTAAGGACCCGAGCTGCAGCGTTCTGAATGTTCTGCAGTTGTCTCACAGCTCGTTTGGAGAGACCAGTGAGCAGACCATTACAGTAGTCTAATCTACTGGAGACAAACGCATGGATAAGTTTCTCCAAGTCTGCTTTAGACAGTAAACCTTTGATTTTTGCTTTTGTTTTTTAGATGGTAAAAGGCTGCGGATGTTATTGATTTGATGTGGCTGTTAAAGTATATATATATATATATATATATATATATATATATATAAGGAAATAAATATATAAATTTTTTTCAGCCCATGCTTTAAGTCAATTTAACAATGATAAATGTCCCAGCAAATTTAATACCACAACAACATTTGAATCTAATTGCATTGTAATCTACTCCGGTGGTTACATATAATGGCTTCAACAACTAACTCTGTTTAACACGTGCAAAGTTAAAATATAACCACATTGCATTTGCACATATGCATGAGTCGCTTTTCTCAAACCACAATGTCCCCCTCCTCTCATCTCACCTTTTCCTTTTTACTCAGAAGCATTGACCACACGACCACACTCGCCAGTTTGTTCGAGCCTCTTGTATTTGTCATGGAACTTGTTTGTGTAATACCCTTCACCCCACATCACACTGGGGGATAAAAGGCAAGGTTTGTGATTCTGATGAGACACATAGATAATTCAGACAGCAGAGAAAGAGCACAAAACCTCAACAATGGCAAAGGTAATCATCATAGCGTTGGGCGTGGTAGCTTTGTGCTGTCTCACTGTTTATGCATCTCAGGGTAAGATATATACTTAAATTTAAGGTTTAATATGAATTTATCTATTTATTTATTTTTTACAATTTCTTTCCTTTTTTCTCTCCATAGGTGCCTTCACCCCAGACGAATGCTGCTTTCATTTTATAGAAGACCCCTTGCCTAAAAAGAGAGTGGCTGACTACAGAAGCACAAGCTCACACTGTGCCAAGTCCGCATTCATGTGAGTATAGCAACTCTTATAAATGATGACGGTAACATGTTTAAAGTACAAATATGTGTAATGAGCTTATATCCTGTGTGTTTTTCAGTTTAAAAATGAAGAATGGCAAGGAATTTTGTGTTCGTCATGATGCAGACTGGGTTGCAAATGTTACCAAATTTGTTGATGAGAGAAGATAAACCCAAGCCATAAACCACAAAGGCATTTTCTGTAATTGTAAATTTTTAAGCATTATGATTTTTTTGTTCAAGCTGCAAAAATACCCTGATCAAGTTTCTTATATTCACTTGTTACTCTGCCTGCTTTTTCCAGTTTCGAGTCTTGTTATTGCACTCACTGACACAATGAATGCTCAACACAATATGGCCTTTTGGTGATGCTATTTCTATGCGTATAAGCTTATATGTATTTTATCTTTAAATAAACAAATTACGATATACTAAATAAAACACAGGATTCTGTCTTTCTTTAATTTCTGGAAAAATATGTATCACAAATGTCAAATGCGATGTCTGTTCACATAGTATTAGATATAGGCTGCAGTGACAAAATGTATCTCTGTTATTGGATATCATTTGAAATAAACAAGGCTAAAGTATATCCATGAATGATGAAAAAAATATATAATTGTTGCCATAACGATTAACAACTTAACTTAAACTTCATTGTGTAGTGGATATTTCATCAAAACTCAATAGATTAAAATGTCCACTACATTTAAAAGAAAGTGAGCTGCACACATACATACATTTCATGAGTGCAGCAATTTAAACCTAAATATTATATCTTTTATCTTATATTTTATAATTCCTCAAAATGTTGCCTCTGTGTAGTTGTAAGTGAAACCCATAAACATTCTCACATCTAACTTGTTTTTTAGAATTTGAACATGACTCTTAAAGTCATAACCTGATTATTTTAGGTTACATTTGAGGTCAGTGGAAATACAGACCACAACCACTGTTCTACATTGCAATATAGTTTCACACAGCCTATTTTTCAATCTTTTCTTTTACCTTTCTGAACATGCAGTGTACCTTCGTGGCCACCAGATGACACTCATCTCCACAGCCTGAAGCAAGAACGCTATTGAAATATAGTTTAATCATGAGTTTAATGGCACTTATGGGCAATAAAAGTCAGTGCAATAAAAGGATACAAGCTTGTGTTTTAAATCATCATGACTGCACGGTTACCAGCTGTAAAAGACTAAAGGTGTTGCGCTATCATGGAAGTATGTAAACATGATTGTAAAATAAAGTTGTATTTTCCAGATAGACACTATGGCATGTTCAAATATTTGTGTAAGGGTGGAAAGGTTGGAATAGCGGGCAATGCCTAGAACAACTTGTATATATCTTGATGTAGTCTACGCAGCTGTCATTTCACTAAAGATTTTGAGAGACTAGACTTCCTCTGTGGCTGACCCATTACGGTAAGATGGTCTGATTAGGTTTCTTGCAAGACCCCGCTGCATACATTTGCATATTAATTGGCCTGGAGATTTAGCTGGTGTTCCACTTTTCAAACTCAATATTTCAGATTAAAAAAGGCTTATTGAGAACTAATTACATTCCAGACTGCTACAATAGAGATTTGTCATTGTTATGAGGCGGTGTTTGCATTTTGTCTTGTTGTTATGGTGAAACAGACCATGCACAGGCTACAGTGGCAGTGGGGAGATGTCCTATTAAATTTGCATATGCGCTGCTGTCTACTACCTGTAGCCTTGGAGAAATGGGGAGGCAGACAGAGGAGAAGGATGAAAGCCTAGGCCACACCGAGCTGGTAGTTTATCACCTGTAAAGATTTAAATGTGATAATATGTTAAACAGTGAATATATTATTAAAAGGGCAGTCGCAGTGTGGTAGCCCATTGTAGCTTAAATATTTGTAATAGTGGAAATGCGGACCAGTAGAGTCCCTCTGTGTTAGAAAGATGTTTGTAATTCAACACCAAAAAGCACTATTCATCAGTTTCAGCTTCCTGTGATATGCAACATTTTGAGTACTTGAGCTGTAATAATGTTTTTTAATTGTTAATCACTATGGCAATGGTCCTATTTTTTCATCAGGCTGGATCCATGGATAGGGTTACTTATTACTTACTACTCCATATAAAAGATCAACCATTAATGAATGTTCTGTATGTGTGTATTTCATGATACTGTACTGATATTGTGGGCTGCTGTATCAATATATCAACCAGAGTGTTTTCTTTGGTATATTTTACTAAATTATTTTGTGAAAGAGCTACAATTGTGTTGCTTGTTTGGAGAAAGGAAACTTGTTTATGCAATACCTTTGACGCTTTCGCTGTTTTGATGAGTAAAATTGTGTTTTTCATATTACCTTTGCACAAGCTTAGTGGTTTAATAAAAACTTAGTATCACAGCAATGACAGAGCCTTTGTTTTTTACTGAACCATATTGAATCGTTTAAAAATATATCGTATTGAATTGAAAGTGCCCTGTATTGAGATATGTATTGTATCAGCAGCCTCTCAATGATACTCAGCCCTAGTGGTTACTGGATCAAGCACACATTTAGCAGTGCTCTAACCTCCTCAGTGGTTGTAGTAAAATGATTTCTTTCTGATAATAATCTCTCTAATTACTCACATCAGATTTTTTGGTTTTCATATCATTTAATCTGATCTTAAAGTTGCAAAATCAGATAGTTATCAGATTTCGGTGTGTCTCTAACTGCAACCACTTCCTGTTTTATTAAAATGGGGAAAACAATCACACACCCCTCATAGAGTTCATTTCAGGAAACCACAGACAGCGCAAAATAGGACATCTGTGTAGTTCTTCCAGCAAGACGCTTGTATATTTAAAAGGTGCACTATGTAACTTTGCTGGAGGGGGGTCTGCCAGCTGCTTGTCTACGTGAAATGTTCCACAGTACGGCATTATACAGTATGGCATTATCTTGCATGTGTTAATTTACAACTTTCTTACTCCCTTGTCCACAAATGTACCCTGTAAAACCAAAATCATTCTCTTATGACACACTAACCATTTCACCTCGGCTTGCCAACAAGATGCACAGCACAAGTATCTATAACTTCAAGTAATCAAGTTCATATTCTATTGCCTCATTTCTTCTGCACAAACATACCCACATTTGCAAAAAGGAGAAAAAACTGAAACAAGTGAGCGACCTTGGCTACAGCGTTGCTAGGCAAAAAGCAGCCTGCTGATTTTAACATTAAAAGAGCGTTGGTTCAGAAACACTGCTGTGTTACACTTGTACAGGGGGAATTCACAAAGCTTTCTGGGGAATTGGGAGGAATAAAAAGCATGAACAAAGAGCAACATTAAAGCTCGCTGGAGTCAGACACATGAAAGGGGAAAGGCTAGGAAAAGAAAAAAACTGTTGCCGCGGTGATCTGGTCCAGGCTGAGCTACACAATGGGATGCCATCATGTGCACACGCGCCCAAACACCAACAGCAGTGTATAAATAACCTCCATGTGATGTCGGCTTTTCCTGACACATGAGATCAACATAAATTAGACCCTGGGAGAACGAAGAAAAAAGGACAGATACAATTATTAAAGGGTCTATAGTATGCTATTTTCTGATCTCTGTTATAATGTACAGACTAGAAGATCAATTTTACTCAAACATGTGTGAATGAAACAAAACACAACTCCAGGTATGTTTTGATGATGAAACAACTTTCTAACATGGCTTAAAGCTTTTTTTTTTTTTTTTTTTTTTTGTAATATAGGACCTTTAAACAGTATATATGTGAAGTAAGTTTACAGGCTTAACTTGGACACATCAACTTGTGGTTAAACAGTCTTGTTTACTTGTTTATGTGCAACAATGACGTTTATATATGGCACAGTTAGATAGTAGACCAATTATGGTTTAGTGGAGTTTCAGTACTTGAGGGCCAGCATGCCCTCTCCACAGTTCTAGGCCCTTGTCAGTTGTTTGAAGCAGGCTTGAAAGCTTTAGTTCATAAGAGCAAAACCAAATCTTTATTCATGCTATAGGCAATTTATAATAGGCAATTACTAATCTCCAGTAAAGATGATTAATGCAGTTTGGTTGGTTGAAGAGACCAATGCAATACCCATATAGTCAGTCTTACATAGCAAACAATGGAAGAACTTATAGTGCAGTTGATAAAAATATGAGGTCTGTGAGTGAGCTTAACTACAAAACGATAATTAGACATTTAAGTGCACTTTATTCTTCAATTTATTACATATTTTCCAAATTGGGATTGTTTATTTCTCATATAAGAAATTCTGAGAAGGAAACTGGCTTACAGATTCAGAGTTATCAAGTTTTTACACTGGAGAAAAACGTACAAATCATGCCAATACAGTTAGTGCATTTTGTACATGTTGAGTCTGTTGTTAAACAAATGAAAACATTGATCAAATAAGTCAACAAAAAGAAGCATGATATATTTAATATTTTTGTAAATGTAAAATAGTACATACTTTAGAAGATAACGTTTAATATGCAGAAATCATACAGGTGCCATAGCCTATAGGCGAGTTTCATTGTTGACAAAAGCGCGCGTTGCATGCTGGGAATTGTTTTGGTCGGCGGCAAGAAACACTAATTCAACACGACGGACGGAGCGAGAAAGAACGTAAAGGGTATTGATCCCGGTTATTTATCCACTCTAACGGCAGAGGACCGAAGACCATTTGACCAGAAATTGGTCATAAGCAACGATGGACGCCAATTCACCCTTTTCAACCCCTACATAAGGTGGACCAAACCAAATTTCTGGTCGGAATCGCCAACTACCTGGCCAAATATTCATTTCGGTGATATCCACAATGACTTGGTGGAAACTCCTGGGCCATTCACAGCAGAAAAGATGAAAGCCTCCAAGAGTCCCGAAGCGTTGTTGAACTTGTTGCAGTCCACGGTTTGCTAGGATCTTCTACGTTTGCTCTGCGGATGTTTGAAAGCCGTTTAATTCGCCGTTGGCGGTTCTTTTCACTCGGAATACGAAAAAGGCATTTTCCTTCTTCCGTGCTTCTATTTGTGCATCCGATAATGCAGCAGGAATTTACCATTATCGGGGATAAATACGCGAGGTCACGTACTGTGTTTGACCGCTACCGTGTTTCTTGTCTCCCACCAAAATGTTTCCCAGCATGCAACGCGGGCTTTTAATAACAATGACGTCAGCTGAAACTCGCCTATAACTGATGCAGAAGTTCCCCAAAAAGCATGACTTTTAAGAAGACATATTACGATTTTATTTGCTATATAGTGTATCTATCTATCCATCTTTCCGATACTACTTGATAACAGTCTGCTAATTTCTTGCGGAGTTGTGGAGCCCAATGCGGTATTAGGAGCTGATTCAGGTTTGCTCCTTTAAATGTATACGCCTCCATAAATGCCAGGGGGTAGATTAGAGCAATGAGGCCTTCAATGCAGGAGAATAAAGATGACCCAAACATGAATGAATCACTCTAAACACAACTATGGGTAAATGAGAAAGGGAAACAATAACAAAAAGCCGATTTTGCATAATAGGTCCCCTGAAATTTCAAACCCGGACCAATTCTGAAAACATCATAAGTTAAAAAAAAAAAAAAAACTTATCCAAAACATAATGAAGCTTAGTATAATATTTATGTATGCATATTTAACATTGCCATATTAATACGCCTGGAGCTGGACCCAATGATAACTACTGAGAGATTGTCCAGACGCACAATCTGCCCATACACACCCTTACATCTGCTTTACATGAAAAACAAATTTTACCTCACAGCCACCATATTGGGGGCTTCAAATGAGATTAGCAGGAAATTAAAACCGGCAAACGGTTTTAAATTACAGGATGAGATGATGGACAGTGGGAAAGAGGCACCACAAAACTGAAGATCAATATCAATGGCTTAATTACTTACAGCATCCTCGGTTGCTAGGAGACGACCTAGAGCTAAGAAAGCAGGAACAGGAGAAAACGAGACACAAAAGAGTGATTTCAGTGAAGCGCTGATTTCTATTGTGTTATGACCTCTTGTGTTTAAATAGGGCTCGTGTTGACAGCCACTGGAAGTGAGAGATGAGATGACAGACACAGGGAGGAATCCATGTAAGAAGCAGAAAATGAAAAAAGTATAGGACATATTAATAATAACAAATACATGGAAAAAACAAAAAACATACAAACCTCTCTGTACTCTTTGTATTTAATTAAACACAAGTATGGATACTTTAAGAAAAACTATTCCCACTTTTTGATACTATTGTGAGGGTTCAATAATAGTTAATAATGAATCTTAATAAATTTATTGGTGGAGGGTCCATCACCTGCGTGTTTCCATGGAGATTTTATCGCCTTCCCTGCAATGTTGCATAGTATGGGATGAAAGTTTGATACAGTGTCTATCAATTACAAGAGCTTTTTATTGCTAAAAAAAACAACACTTGGCCTGGCATCACCTGCTTGTCTCCATGGAAATAGATATTATGCCTCAGTGTGGTTGTCGCAAAACAATATCATCTCCACATTGTCAAAAAGGTTTCAGACCGTCCACCAGAAATGCCCCTTTATTTGCCAAACCAAAACATGAACTTTAGGCTATACATAGATCTTTTTGGGCAACTCAACTTTTCCATGATTTAGAGATCATAGTCACTCATATCAACAGAGATGACACTGAAAGGAGTAGACAAAAAAATAAATAAATATAAATATATAAAATATATATATATATATATATATATATATATATATATTCATTAATGTACATGCAATTTGTAGAAAACTAGATATGGTCACACATTTATACAACGCTTTTCCACCTTCAAGGCACTCAAAGCACTTTACATAAAGAAACCACTCACTCATTCACACACACACATTCATACACACTAGGGGCAAGGTGGGTTAAGTGTCTTGCCCAAGGACACAACGACAGCATTCATCTGGGGGAGTTGGAATCACACCAGCCAACCCTGCGGGTGAGTGTATCTGACCACTCAACCAGTGATGTTTATGTGGAGAGTAGGAACCTTTGGATCAGTGGACAAACACTCTACTAACTGAGCAACTGTTCTCCCTTAATCAAAATACAATGTCTGTTTCTATGTATACCTGTTGTCCTCCATCTTGATATTATAGGAGACTATGACATCACTGAACACCACCTATTAAAACATCGGGCCAAAATGTCTAGTCTTTAGGGGATTGGGCTGGTCGCATGAATAATTACTGAGATATTGACACAGACACCTCTTTCATCTTGTCGCCTGGTGCTTTTCCCAAGCTGCCCATATTAATACTTACTCTATATTTCATTCATTGGCATTCACAGCCTATATATTGTACCTTATCTTTGGCTCATTTCCCAGCCCTGTCTATTCATACTGATAAACCTCGTTATGAATGCACTGAAGACTCTTAAGGGAATATGTGTGAATGGCATTACAATATTACATAATCACCGAGAAGGAGCTGAAATATGACAGGGACATGTCCAAATGTCTCCTCACATGTGTTTAAGCTCTCGTATCTCAGGAAAAGATGTAAACTGCAAATTTGGATTTAAAGAAACAAGCCTCACTATATGCATTCTAATAATACATAATACACAGGATGAATAACAATCCAATAAATATGGCTATTTTTGGTGGCAATTAGCAAAACAGAAAGACTGCAATTATTTAAATTTCCTTTGCAAACAAAGATATCCTGCTACAGTATTTTAGACCTCTACAAACATGGTTTGAGATGTGTGTGATTCTTGTATTAGTGGCTCATATTTCAGTCTTTCATCAAATGCTAAAGAAACACTTTGTAACGTCTCTGGGCAACGGTCTGCCTACATTGTCTCAATGATAGTTATTGCTTTACTTGGAATGTTTCACAGTATGGAATTAAACTTAACCCTCTCCATGGAAATAAGCAGGAGATGCCACCAGACCAAGGTACTGGTCAGATCAGTGCAGATGTTGGCCTGCTGACTGTAGGTGTTAAATTACTTAACACCTACACCTAACACCTATAACTGAATTAATGAGATGAATAAATTTAATGCCACACTGAAATGTTTCAGACAAAGTAATACCATCTCCATGGAGACAAGCAGGCGGTGGACCCTCTACCCTGAAAGTTACGTAATGCACCTTTAATGCTACTAGAACAATGTGCACAACGGAATCCTACTATTGAAATAAAAATCACAAATCTTATCGTAATTGTGATGCTTTCCAAAAAACACAATAAGTAATTTTCCTAAATTGTTAAGCTGTAGGCTGTAGAATTGAAAACAAGTCTTCATTTTCACATATACTTTTGAGTATGAAAGGTCAAGGAACACATGCTATTTTCATTCTGAGATATAATAGACCCAAGAGACAAGACCAGTAACTACTCTCCCACTGAGCACAATGTCATGACAGCCTCTCTCAGTAAAACATTAAAGAGTTAAGTAATGAATGAAAAATAAAGAAGTGAACATCATAACACATATAAACACACACTTTCTGCATCAGCTAATCCTCTAAGGTCTAATGTGCAATTCTGACATGTCCCCTAAGGATGCATCAAAAGTATGGGAAGAAATGTAGTGTTGGAATGCATGCAAAAGCCAAATCAGTCCACAAGGCTCTGATCATTACTGCTAAATGCTACTGTTAAACCTTGGATAAATGCCAGTTAAATGCAGGGTTATAATCAGCGACCAATGGCCCATTCACAAGCAATAGGTCATTTAGATCCACTACTGTAGTGTGTACCCTCCTGCTATTCTTGGACATTGGTTTCAGACATGTGGTAAAGTAGGAGGATATGCAGAGGAATCTTACATTATAACTGACCCCTGATCTGTGAGCAACTATTGAAGTAAGAGATAAGTAAAGTGCTTTGAGTGCCTTGAAGATGGAAAAGTGCTGGAAATGTAAAATGTGACCATGACCATTTACCACAATATTATAGTTGATAAGAAAAGTATAAGAGAGCAAGTATATATATGCTACATTATGAGGGAATTATGCAAGAACAATCTATAGTTTCCAACTACACATAAATTTGACTCACAAGTATAAAAATGATTTAGACAAACTTTATTATTTGGACACAGTCGCTCACACAACACAACATATTATAATAATACAGTAAAAAAAATATAAATGGTAATAATAAATTCAAAATAAGCAGCAAAAATAGCAAAAGACTGGTGTCAAGCAAGGCATACTTATATATGCGTATACTGTATGTACAAGTAAAAATTAAATATAAGGAAATATAGATATATCTCGTTAAATACATGATGTCATAAGGGGAAAAAAATTATTGACAGGGCATAGGGTTATCTGTACCATAATGGGCAATGGGCAAAGACAAAAATGGACAAAAATTCTTATGGGAACTATATGCACTAGAAGTTTCTATATGCACTACAAGTTTCTTATTTGCATAATAATCTTACAAAAGACAACATACACAATATTATAATTGAACTTCAACTCAACTATTTTTGAAATTTCTTTCTGATATAATCCCTACTGCCATGCCTACCAGTAACTCACATAATTAATTTGTCAAACTCATACATTTAGAGGGGGACTGGATTATTATGGTGGTGGTAAGATACATGTGAACCCACAAAAGCCACATGTGTGAATATATATTTAAATTATATAAATTTTTTATAGTACTTACTGTTGAATGAATATACGGTGCACTGTGTCTTTAAATGGTGGGAGCTGAGGAGGGAGTGGAGGGGCCAGGAGACAGTGGAGAAAAGGAGAGAGAGGGAGTAGTAGTAGAAAAAGGGGGGCGGCACCACCATACATCTCTTCTGTGTCTTGTACAGGGGTGTGTTCAGCGTGGATTCACTAAAAGAGGGAGAAAAACAGAGAGGAAAAGAAAGTTTCGGCTTTGTGAATCGATTTCAGATTGTTTTTCAAGGAACTATGATATTTTTGGAGCTGGAAATAAGGTAGCAAACACTGGACTTCAGTAACCCAACTGTGTGGTCACTTTAAGGATACAAAACAACAGGACTTTTGTGATGGAGCAGTAGCTTGCAAAGTGCATCTTGGGAATTTCAAATCAGGAAAACCTCAAGGAAACAGCAGAATTTTCAATTTTATTTGTAAATTTGACTGATTTCACCGTAAATGCAAATTATGTTTACAATTTGAAACTTACACGTGCTTTGTGCTCTGTTAGTGTACATCATCTCTACAGACTCAACTAGTGACTGATCATTCGGGGACACTTCCAGTCACTCATCAATACAGCACACGTGTGATTAAAAAGACGAAAATTCAATTACATCTGACCGACTGTGCTCCAATCTCTTGACACAAAAAGGAACACGATGGCACAGAAGGAGGCAGGAGTGGAGCAGAGCCGTATGAAGAGTGGGGACAGCCTGGGGCCCAAAGCAGCAGTGGGGGCCCATACGGCGGGTGGGGGGGTAGTGGTGGCGGTGAGGGAGAAGAAAGGACCACTGAGGGCTGCCATACCCACAATGCCTTTCCCCCTGGCGGTCATCTGCTTGTTCCTGAACACCTTTATACCTGGACTAGGTGAGTGCTATGTCGAATAATGGAATTGGAAAATGTTATTAAAAGATACACACTGTAACTTTTCAAATAAGTAGTCCGCCCCCTTCCTATCTCCATGGGGTTATGTTCCACAGTAAGGCTTTAAATATATTTTGGCATTTATTCAATTACACATGCATAATTGCTTACATTTTGGGCTTGCCTCTCCACAGATCTCACCTGTAACTTGGGCTGATGAGGTCAGTTGCTTGTCTCCTTGGGTTAATGCCATACTGTGGAACATTCTGGACAAAGCAAAAACATCTCAAAGGAGACCCTCAAACAGATGCCAAAATATAAATTTTTTACTAAAAACAACTATTTATTGATTACTCACGATTATTGACAGTACTGACACAGCAGTAAACTGGATAATCATGATTACTGATTAACTGAAAATCTTGTCATTCCTAAATTAAATGCACACACAATAAAGCCTAACATTCATTTTGTGTAGTACTTAGTATTTAGTATTACTTAAAATCCAGTGGAATTTAATTCTGATCTGTGTAACCTTTACACTATTATCATATATCACTACATGAAAGTGTGTTCATTTTTGTGAAAACTGCCCAAGTGTAATTAACCTGTAAACCAAACAGAGTTGGTAAACAGGGAGCACATGTCAAAGTGGTAAACAAGATGAAAATAGTTTGGGCAGTTTGGGTGGTCTTGAAACAAGACCTACAAAGATACAGAACCTAGATACGGGCAGTAAGTCACCACATAACTAGCTTCAAAATTTTGGACAAAGATCTAAGCACTTTGTTTGGACAAGTATTGCAATTACGATTTACGAAGTATGATTCTGTTCACTGTGCACATTTCAACACATCCAGGTGCAGTAACATTTGAGTGAAGGCTGAAACATAAACTGTCAAACAAATACAGGAATCCCATGCATTTGTTTCCAGGCATATTTTCTAGCAGTCTAAATTATAGGCCCTAGGGGTACCAGTTTTGCTTTTTCATTGCTTGTTCAATAAAATAACTAGATATTTTGTTTTTTTATTAGATTGATTTCAACCTGTGTACATATTGACCTACAACTTGTAATTTCAATTGTGATATATTGTGCATATAAAGCCACAAAAAAGATAAAAATGGGAAATTCTCAGCTTGATATCAGCTCTGTTCACTGACTCATTACAGTAAAAATAGAGTGCAATTCCACACTGAACCACATGTTAACAGCTTGTCCAGATGTCAGCACTGCAGGTGGAGATATCTAGGTTTAAAATAAGCCATGATCACATCATTTGGAGGCTAAATCACAGGGAGAGTGGCAGGGACATAACACGGCAGGTGAAGAATCAACACTATGAGAAGGCTTCACATTTGTGTCATTAACTCACACAGACCCAGACACTGTAGAGTTCAGTGTGATGGGTAAATTGGTCGACCTGAGTAACCGGCAGTTATGGGTCATTTTGACTGCTTTGCCGAGTCCTATAACACCTACAATTCAGTGTGGTGTGGGGGAGAATTACTGCTAGAATCTGAAACTGGCTATAGGCTGGTGGAGGTTGACCAATCACGCAAAATTACTCTGTTTTTCCGGCTCTTCCCTTCTGGGATCTGGACAGCAGTCATCAGTAATTAACATAGTTGATTTTTATCACAGACGCCCTTTCTTGACCAAGTTCTTCTGTAAATGGGGAGGATAGATACTGGATAAGTTCTCTGAATTTTTGTAAATCTTTGTGAGACTTGTAATTAAAGAGACTCCTGGTGAGCATCACATTTTCACAGGCATGACAAATTTTGGCACCTGTTGCTGTCCTGTCAAAAAGTGGTGCATAATTGATCTAGGAAACGAACACGAATCAAGATTAGTTTTCCCTAGACTGGATATGAAATCCATGGATACGAGCACCGGGGTTGCCATCAAGTTAAGAAACAGGCCAGATCTGTGGAGAGGTGACCCGCCTCACTCTTCCCACTTCTTTCTTTTCTTTGATCTCTCTTTTTTTTTTTTTTTTTTACACCTGTTACACTCAGAGTAATAACATTTCTATGGGGACAACCAGGTAGCATACTTCCCACCAGAAAAATGACATAATACATTTTTAATCTTTTAACCAGTGAGTGTAGAAATGCATGTGTTGACTTTTATACCAATAGATACCAGAAGTCAAGAATAGTTCCAACATTTGCAATCACTTATAGTAAATCCACCCTTGTTATTGTGTGAGTTGACTTATGCAAGCTTTGCCAATGGTGGCTTCTGTAGTTATATTTTTATGTGTTTATATAGGACTGCAGACTAGTTCAGTGTTATACTAAAAGCTAATATAATATCTTCTTTTCCACAAACGGAAGGGCACAGTATTGATGGAAATGGTCAATATGGAGAAGGCCATAGCTTCAGTAAATGCCACATCTTTGATTCAACATAGAGCTTATACAATATTAGACATTATATAATTACAAATGTTTTGGATCTCATTGTTTCCATTCTAGTACTGTCACAATACTCACATTTCAAACTTTCAAATCCTAAGGAATAGACTCGATACTCAATACTGACTCAGATACCATGATTATAATATTAAAAAAACAAAACAACAAAAAACAAATCATGCTTTAAATCATAGTACTTTCATTTATTTTACCATGTGGTGTTATATCTCTGTAATCCCTCAGTTGTCCAGGTAGGTTGCATAGTAGTCCATGTGCCTGTACTTGTCTATGTGGTCTTATACTTGTTCTGATACAGCTCAAGATCATTCTAAATGTATTCAGGAAAGGTTCATTGCTGTCTTGTGACTTTTTAGTATTGATACTTGCTGAAATGTGTATTTACTTTCAGTACTGTTTTGGTATCAATTAGTATGTGATTTCCGATACTTTTGACAACCCTATTTCATTCATTAAACTATTTCTTCTCATTCCACATTGCCTGTTACGATTACATAATGAGATTTGCAGCTAATGACACAGGAAGCAGACTCAGATTTATTAGTGTTGATTAATCCAGTGGAGCCAGAGGAGGGTTCCTACATACAAACAGCATATCCAGTATTACTCTGTGCACAATGGCATCAAATAGCAGGGACTGTGGTGTCTCTGAAAACCAATATAAAGCCTGGAGAAGTGAGATAGGCAACTCACAATACAACATGGTGTACTCTTGAACTCTTGTTTGTGAGTGGCAATATCTCGCCTGAAGAGGTTGGTGCAGTCTGCCCAGCTTTTGATTTTTGTGCCATTCTTCACCTCAATAAGGCTTTTTTGTTGCATTTTTACTTCACAGCACACAGTAAAAGCACAGTAATAGAAAGGGAATGGTAACTGAGATAAGACAGGTGTTGTCATGGTTCTAAAATTTCAAACAAGAAAAAAAGCTCCATACTGATTTGGCTATACCACAATGTAAAAATACATTGTAATGTAATTTTCAACAAAAAGTAGTTTCTTTACCAATAATATGTGGGATTATACTAGTTATGAAATAGATGAAGACCACATAAAACTATTTAGGAAAGGTGCATTGTGTTGTTCATGTAATTTTGTATTGATCAACTGAGTATCTAGATTTGATATTGATTGACAGTATAAATGAATATTCCAGCCATTCAAATAATTTATACTATTATAATATTCTAATGTTTATGCTAATTCTATTCTATTACCATGATTTTACCATGCTTTATGTGCTTGTCTTTCCATCTTTATTTTTTCAGTTATTAAACCTTGTGTGCTTTGTAACTCTTAAAATATGACAACCTAAAGGGTTAAAAAAAAAAAAAAAAAAAAAAGGGCACGGTGACCCAGGTAAAACATGCACCCATTTTAATAGCATTTTGAATGCATTTGTCTTAAACCTGGGTAGATACCTGGACATTCGCTATCTAGGGCGTGTGCACCACAGGTTTCTCTGAATGCCTTGACATTTCATTGAATAGCTGCTGCTTGTTGCCATGACGACGCGGACCGAAATGAACACAATGCCCCGTGTGTGTGTGTGTGGCAGCTCCCGTTGGTCTAATTGACTCCCAATGCAAACAGTATCTTCCTCTATTCAGGCTAAAGTGGGGTAGATTTTAGAGAGGTGCGGCTGAATTTTGACTTGAAAAAAAGAAAGAGAAAGAAAAAATGCTATACAATGCAAATTACATGGAGCCCACTATTGCATTGAGCATTTTTAGAACAGTCTATAAAGTCAGCTCAGGACACTGTTATGTAACCTTTTGAATTAATTAATTAAGTGCTTATTACAATTGACAGAATGAACTTTGAAATTACCGTAAAAGCGTTAATTCACACAAAGCCAAAGTATTTTTAAATTATAATTATATATAATTATAATTTATAATTCAATTTTATGACCAATATCAATATATTGTGGAAAGTTAAGTGGAAAATTATTTTATTGGTTTTCAGACAGCCTATGCACCAGATATACAGAAAGCAATTACATCGGTCTGTAGTGAACCTAATATAAGCCAACCCAATTCTGGTACAAGGATCGGCACGAGACACCTGTCAATCAAAGACCCACGCACGACAATACCATTACAGAGAGTACCCAGACCTATATGGATGATCATAAATATTATCTGAAGAGTTTATGTTTACACAGCAGTGGAGATATAGATCAGTTTTATGGTAAAATTCTTTGAAAACCAACTATGTGTGAAAACTATGCCAACTATAAATCTCCCAAAATATAATATGTTTTTGATTCAGGAACAAAAACCTAGGGATGGACTGATCCACTACTGAAATCCGATACTGAAAAAATTGCTGGATCGGATATCAGCCTCCAAATAGGTTAAGCTGATATCCTGGTTGAACATACAAATTCAAATTTTTATTTATGAAAAGCTGTAGTTACTTGAGACATAAATTATAGCTGCATAACACCAACCAACATCTGAATCAGTTTAGTCTTTTTTGTTTAAAGAAAATAAATGATATTTCTCTCTTTGCATTGGTATCTGTTGTTATCAGGTATTGGCAGATACATAAAGCTATGA